ATAATTGTGATCACCTCCCACCAATAATAAGTATTAGTTAACTCTGTTCACTAAGACTCTATTAAATATATGTGAAGTCAAGTTATAATTGAGATTAATGCATATAACTAAAGGAGATATATTTCAAGTGGTTAACTAATAATCTATGTAACGCACGCTGAAGAATATCTATAAAAAGAATTTCAAAATTTGAGTTCGAAATGTCTACTAGGAACATTTAATTGTCATGTTCTAACTCGATCGAAACATATCATAATTCAAATATCTAAATAAAATTGAGACAACAATATCAATGTAATCTGTAGTTTTTTAATATATATTTCCTTTTTCGATCTATCAAAGAATGAATGTATACACTTTGTTATATTAAAAAAAAAATTAATACCCTTTTTAAGTCTCTTATTTCATATTTATTTAATTTAATAATGACATGTTCTTATGATCATCATGACATATTAAAGATTATGTTTTTAAAAGTTATTTTTATCATAAGTACAAAAATTAAAATTTTCTTTTATAATTTAAATTTTATTATCTCGAATACTGCGATAAAAAAATAGAAAAAATAAATCCTAAGACCAACGTTTTTTAATTTGATAATATAATACCTATATTATAAAACTTAATGCACCGTCCGCCTTCAAATATTTTCTATAAATATAAATTATAATATATAGTCTTTGACAAATAGTGACATGACATTGATATTCTAAGACACTAAACAAACACAACTATGACGTGTGGGGGTGCAGTGTCTTGACTAGGAATCAACGATTTATTCTAATATTTTTTTTGACTAAAAAGTATATTATATCTATATTTCTATTTTTTTTTTATTATTTTTCAATTAATTGAAACTTTCAATTGACTATTTCAAAGATATTTTAATTGAATATGTGAGAAATGTAAAAATGTTTAGTCCAGTATTTTAATTGAAATTTATCATGTTTTTTTTTACTGAACTGGTTCGATAAAAATGAAATGTGAATCATATTATATATATAATTTTTTAATGATTTGTATGTAGCTAATGTTGAACATATGTTTAATATTTTTAAATATTTATCTTTTCATATTTTAAACTTCATAATAAAAATTTTGATTAGGTCACTATTTAGAAGCGCGCTAGTTTCATAGACATCAACATAGTTAAACTCATTGATAGTTACTAGACTATATTGTGTTCTAGATTTAGGTGACATGAATTTTGAAATGTTTTGAATGGCTAAAGCATTTTTGGATTTGATTGTCAAGTAAATTACATAAAATTATTGTGTCTAAGTGTGGACCAAGTTAAATGTCTTATATATGTATGGTAAGTGTCAAAGAGTGAGACTCTATATATATATATATATATATATATATATTGTTGTGCGGAATTTGAGATAATACGAGAAAATATAAACGCAAAAAACAAGACAACAGTTTACGTGGTTCACCAATAAATTGGCTACGTCCACGGGAAGAGAGGGAGCAGTTTTTATTATGGAGAGGCAAAAACAGAATTACAGAATAGGGTTTCCCATAGCGTCTATATATAGTGCTAAGCTACGCCCTAACAGGCTTGGGCCCAACATACAGAATCAACAGAAAATTAAGGGCCCAATACAACAACATTGTATACCGTCGGGCCGGGGGCGTCTCCGCCCCCCCGGACCCCCAGGCCAGGGGGCGCGTCGCCCCCCTGGACCCCCCGACTCGCTGACCGGGCAGCGAGACCCCCGTCCTTTCTGTTTGTAGCGGGTCCGATTCAAGGCATTCAACATATATATATATATATATATATATATATATATATATATATATCCTTTACATTACATGTAATAAATGTGGATTAGAAAACTTCGGCTTGTGTTTATACATGTGATATAAGAAAATGATTTTAAATTAACGTTAACTTGTATTTGAGATCGTGATTTTAAAATTTATGATAGGAAATTGATGCATAAGTTTATGTTTTATAAGAATAAAAACTCAGATTTTAACTTTTGCAAAAATAAATAAAAAGCTCATACTAGCTCGGTATGAAGAGAATGTTTCTACTACGTGAGAAAACTATAATAATAAATAAGAATAACTAGCTATTGTATTGACTAGTGATTCTATTAAAATTAATATTATGTGTATTTGGAGATTTATAATTATAAGCGTTTATTTATTAAAAATTAGGAAAATATTATGTGATTCGATAATGCGATTTCTTAGATTGTTCTGATATTTTATTTATGAACTATAATTAATTTATTTGGCAGAAGTGTAAAAAATTAGAAAAAATTTAATATGAAATTTTCATATTTTAATTTAAAATTCTAAATGGCAGATACAAAACTTTTATTTAAGATGGTATGTCCCCCTTGGATTAATATTAAATGTTCATTATTTCTATTTTCTCACAAAATTTTAATGTGTGACGACTTTTAAATTTTTTTCATTTTTATTTTTACTTTAACTATTTTTGCTATTTTATCATTTTATTTATTTATGGGAAAAGGGTCTGATATACCCCTCAATTTTGTCAGTTAGAGTTGATATACCCCTCGTTATAAAAGTGGCTCATATATACCCCTACTTGTAAACAAATGGCCCACATATACCCTTTTCCTCTAACGGAAATGAAAAAAAAATAATTTTAATCTAAATTTTTATTATTTTTTTCTAAAAAGTATAATCCCGTATGAGTAACTTTAATCCTTGTCAAACATATTTTTTTTTACTTTTTTTTGTTTTAATGACTAATTTATAATTATTATTTTGAAAATCAAATTTATTTATGTTTCACTAATATTCTTGTAAAACTTATTATAGATGACCAAATTTTTTCTTCGAATACGAAATTAAATTACAATACCACAAAAAAATAGTTTAAATTTTTTTTCTTTAAACTAAGGAATGAAAGAAAAAACAAAATAAGAATAAGAAACTCAAATAATTATAATAAAAGAAGTCAAAAAATAATTTATGTATGAAAAAATTTAAAATATACCTTGAACTTTGATAAAAGAATCATATATACCCCTAAATATTTATTTTTTTAAAAAATAGAAGTAACAAATATAAATATAAAACTAATTTTTTAATTTCCGTTAAATAAAGGCTATATGTGAGCCATTTTGTAACGACATGGGTATATGTGAGCCGTTTGTATAACGGTAAGGGCAAATATGAGCCACTTTTATAACGAGGGGTATATCAGCTCTACATGACAAAGTTGAGGGGTATATCAGACCCTTTTCCCTTTATTTATTTGTGTATCCTTTAAAAATGTCTTTTTCAAACTCTACAAAAAGTAAGTTTTCTATTCAATAAATATGAAAATAAATAGATATGCAATTCATCGATTTAGACCTTATTTATAAACTATACTAAATATGTTATTTTTATTATTATTATTACTATATTAAGTGATAGCTTAGACTATCTTTTAACTCTTTATTACCATTTCCATCAACACTCCATTTTCCAAAATGTTTGTATTATATCTATATAGAGGTAGAGTTAATAATGAGAAAGTAAGTAAATCATTTAATTTTTTCCCAAATTTTCTTTAGTTTTTCTTTACGAAATATTTTCTAAATGTTGTATTATATTATATCTATATGGGAAAATGCACAAGTATCTCCTAAACCTATGCTCGAAATCCCAGAGACACACTTATACTATACTAAGGTCATATTACCCCCTGAACTTATTTTATAAGTAATTTTCTATCCTTTTTTAGCCTACGTGGCACTAGTTTGAAAAAAAAAAGTCAACCATCTTGGGTCCACAAGATAGTGCCACGTAGATCGAAAAAGGGTAAAATATTATTAATAAAATAAGTTCGGAGGGTAATAGGACCTTAATATAGTATAAGTGTGTCTCTGAGATTTCGAGCATAGGTTGAGGGGATACTTGGACATTATCCTTATCTATATAGAGATAGAGTTTACAAAGAAAAAGAAAGGAAGTCATTTAATTTATTTCCAATTTTTCTTTAGTTTTTTCTTACGAAATATTTTCGCCGTTTATTTTTATTTATTTATGTTTGTCTTACACACTTTTTACACATTAATAAATGAAAGAGCTTTTTTAATTATATTTCTCTTTGAAATATAATAACTTTTTAAAGAATTATTTTGAAAAATTAGCTATAGTTAATAACAAGAGTAAATTAAGGAAACCTACACTTACTATTATTTGGTTGAGCACAGGGTAAAACTCCTGTTTCTATGCAATAGCTCGCAAATCACATAAAAGAAGTGACTTTTACTAGGCAAGCCCGATACGACGAGTTTGACTCAGAAGGCAGTGATGGGGTCAGGATTTTCACGATGAGAGTCCAAGTACTAATTAAGTGAACCTGCTCTTCTTGAAAAGTGAAAAGAAAATTACTACTAGTGAGATTGGAACACACACACTTTAAATTTGTGTGTCTTTATTCTTTCAAGGCGTTTGAAACCATTATGCTACATCATATGTTATGTCAAGAGTGTCTAAAATATGTTACTTAGCCACTTTATTTATCATCTTACTTGTATATATTGTATAATATTCCGACGAAGAGTGTCCAGATGGACACCATGATATAAGGGTGGCTACGCAACTGACAAACGGCATACCCTTTGCTTACGCTGATAAGATGTTTCGAATTTAAAACCTTCAATATGGAAATTTCAGATCCAAATCACTGGGCCTTCCCGAAGGATAATCTTATTTAATTAAACTAAATAAATTTAAATAAATATTTATTTTTAACACTCCGAATCAACAAAGATGAACGGAATAAATATAACTATTAACTTACTACTATTAGAACAAGATAAGAGAGATTAAAAAAAAAAGGGAAGCTAAGACCTCAAGTTTAAGCCCAATATGTAAAAAAAAATTTATTGAGAGCATCGTTTATTTAGTCGAACTTCAATATGGGCTCAAATTTTATTAAGAGTATCGTTTATTTAGTCGAGCTTCAATATGGGCTCGGCACGATAAAACCCAAAAAACAATAAACATTTCCTTACCTAATTTCCAAACAAAAAAGAGAAACAAAAGGGGAAAAGAGAGAGAAAAAAATGTTGTCCTTTTTCCCTCCATTCCAAAACAGAGAAGAAACACATGCAACTGCGTCTCTTCCCCTTCTCTTTTTTCTCTGGTTTTCAGCTTTTAGCACCAAAAAACTCCATTTTTGAGTAGACCAAGAAAAACCCATCTTCTCAATTCCATTTTTATATACTTTTCTTGGACCAATTTCATCTGTTTTGCTCTTTTTTTTCCGTTTCTGATCATCGTTTTTGCTATTAATTTAAGAAAAAGAAGAACTTGGGGTTGTTAATTTCAGTATTTAAGAAGTACCCAGAATGGGAAAATTCGATTTTGGTTGGGTTTCGTTGTTGTTAGTTATACTTGTTTGGAGTGTATATGTGGGAGGTGAAGGGGTAATTAAAGTGCATTCTAAGTTTGCTGGGTTGGAAAGGAATTTGCGTGCCCTAAAAGCTCATGATGAAATGCGCCATCTCCATATTCTCGCCGGCATCGACCTTCCTATCGGCGGAACTGGCCGTCCTAATTCCATCGGGTTTGTTTTTTCCGTTCTCTCCCTTTTATTGAATTGTGTGTTTTTTGTTTGTTTATATGTGTGTGATTCTGCATGAGAGTGTATATACACACTTTGCTGTGTCTTTTTTTTGTCTTTGGAAGTGACGAACAGAGTGATGTTGTACATTTTGCTGGAACTGTTGTACATTTTTCTTATTATGCACTGTTGCTTTTGTTGATGTGTGAATTAATTGAAGCTTTATGTTAGGAGTTCAATTGACAGATTGAGTTGAATTTGGGTGTATTGAGTGAATGATTTGCCCAAAAGTTACTTTGAGCTGTAATAGCTAGGTTGGGGTAAAATGGGGTTGACTAACTTTTTTATTTGTTTCTTTCATAATATTTTAACTACCCAATACACCATTTTTTTTCTCTTTATTATGGTTGTATATAACATATCAAAGAAAAAAAATTAAATCTTTTTGAAAATATTTTGGATTGATCAATTTGGGCTACATATACTGGGAACAACTTTTAAATGGATTGAATTGGGCGTGTCAAACTTGAGTGGGTTGGGGGTGCACGTGCACTCATTAACTATGAAAAGAATTTGGTATATTATATACCTTGAAGAACTATCATATATTTTGGAAGGCCTTCAAATATATCTGCTGGATTGGTCATTTGGTCAGGGTGCTCCATAGGCGCCCTTGAATGCTGATGCGTGACCTGAGATCGAGTATGGCTGCTACATTATTTGGTGCCCCCGTTGTCTATAAATCCTAAGCCCACTTCTGACGGTAGTGGCTGTAAAAGTAGTTTTGGTGTATTTAAAGAGTTCGCATGAATTATCAATTGGCTATATTTTCAGTGTTGGCTTTCAATTAGGCCTATATCATCTAATGAATTAATAATTTCCAGAAGATGCTTAGATCTCGGGTAAATTAGATAAGATGATGAATTCCATGGTTGAGTGATGCTTTTTAAGTGCACAAGTCTCTGATTATTTGGATAAGCTGATGAAAATCTTTCTCCATGCAAATTTAAGTGGCTCACAATAATCATTTATATATATATATATATCGAATGATAGTTGTATAGTCAGTTTGAGCTGCTATTGAAATCATTCCCTTGATCTTTTGTTATTACAGGCTTTACTTTACTGAGATTGGGATTGGAACACCTCCAAATAATTATTTTGTTCAAGTGGATACGGGAAGTGATATAATGTGGGTTAACTGCATTGCATGTGAAAGATGCCCCAAAAGAGGCTATCGTAATGTACGTTTCTTTTAAATACACACTGATATATGTTATACGTACGTTTATAGTTGTTTTTGTGTGTGTCTATATTTTATTTCTGCTCAGTATATGAATTGCTCTCGAAAGCAAAGCAATTTTTACTTGATGCTGCACTCCGTCCTTTTTAATCTGGATGTTTTCCTCGGCAGATCGATCTAACACTCTACAATCCAAGGGATTCGCTCACTGGTAAACTCATTCGTTGTGGTCAATCATTTTGCAAAGACTTCTACAGAGGTTCAGTATTAGGCTGCTCTGGTAATAGTTCTTGTACATATACTCAAAATTATGGAGATGGAAGCTCTACAAGGGGCTACTTCGTGGAGGATGTTATCCAATACGATAAGGTGTCAGGTGATCTCCAAACTAAATCAGCAAATGGGAGTGTTATTTTCGGGTAAGATGTATGTTATCTAATATTATAGAGAAATAATATATCTTTAGCTCTTATAATCCACAATCCAGAGCATGATTTGTAAACATTTAATTGAAAAGGTGATCTTATATGGGTGGCTTCTGCTTCAAAATATTTCAAACTCATGCTTGTTATTCTTTGGTTTACTTGGCATTTATGAATGGTCTGCAACCTTATGTGAAATTTGAACTTTTGACTATCATTTGGTGCGAATAATTATGCATTAGTTGAGCCAAGATCTGGTGACACATTTTCTCTTTTCTTTCGGATAATAAGTTTATTGATGTTTCCCCTTGTATTCTCACAGGTGTGGTGTAATACAATCTGCTGACCTGATTTCTTCTGATGAAGCTTTTGATGGGATTCTTGGATTTGGGAAATCAAACTCATCCATACTTTCCCAGCTGGCTTCATCTGGAAAAGTGAAGAAAATGTTCGCACACTGCCTTGATGGTTTGAATGATGGTGGTATTTTTGCCGTTGGAAATGTTGTGCAACCAAAAGTGAACATGACTTCTTTGGTACCTAACCAGTATGTACATTATCCCGATAGATCATAAAGCTTTTGATTAGTATTACTGCTCTTTTGTTAATTGTAATTTATCTCTGAACTAGTTGTATAATTCCATAATCTCACAAATATTAGTGAAATAGTTTAGTTGTGACTTCGGATCTTCTTTTAGGTTAATCTCCCAGAACATCTGACATACAATTCTGTTCCTAGTTAAATATTACTTATTTAGGCTTCTGTTATTACTTTAGCATCACATCTTTTTCTCCTTGTGGTTGATAAATGCAACAATTTAAATGCTTTAAACTGTCTTTTTTCTCAGGCAACATTACAGTGTCAATATGATGGCCGTTGAAGTTGGTTATCAGTTTCTAAACCTGTCTGCTGATGTATTTCTGAATGGAGAGAACCATAAAGTAATAATTGATAGTGGAACAACATTGGCTTATCTTTCCGAGGTGATTTATAGTCCACTAGTGAAAAAGGTAGTTTTCTTACTATGGTTGGTTTAGTCTTTTTGGTGGCCACTTAATTGAATCACAAATAGATATAAATGTTTCTACCTAAATTATTGAAATGTTCTGTATTTCTTCACTTCTGTCAGATACTCTCCTGGCAACCTGATCTGAAATTGCATCATGATGAGTATACATGCTTTGAATACTCTGGAAGGTATGGTGTGCACTGAGCACTCATCTCTTTCCGCTGTCTGTAATTGCATGAAGTTATGCTATCATTCTAATTGTGGTTTCTTCTTTATTTCATCACATTACTCTATCAATTTCTCAATCAACATCCTTATGAAGGATAACTTAGCTGCTGTTGTGTGCTTGAAGCTTGTTTATTCAGGAGCAGTGGCAATTCGATTCTGAAGTGCGGTCATGCTATCCTTTATACTCTACTTCTTGAGATGTTGTCTGCAAGGCAAGGAGGTGGAATTTGATGGCCAATTCTATCTAAAGATTAACTGACTATTGATAACTGAATTCATTCACATTCTTTTATCAAACTAGTGGAAATTAGATGAGGTTGCAATTTTACACTGATCCATGTGGGCATGCCTCACATACTGTTCAAGATAATTAGGAGAGCGAAGTAATATATGTCCAAAGAATCAAAAGTTCTCTTTTATAATGACTTGGATCCTGTAAAAAAACTAGCAATGAACTTACTAGAATAACTGTCAATCCTTGACTTGCAATATAGTTATTTCAACAGGATCACCATGTGGAATAATGATATTAGAGCTGGTAAAGCAGTTCTGTTTATTTTGTCTTGTGTCATTTGTAAATTACTAAAAATCATGGTTTTAGCAATTCCCATTTCACTGCATTTGCATTCGTGACTTGGTTTTGTAACCTAGTCCAGCATAGTCTATTGCCTTGAAAGTGTTCTTACAAAACCGAACTGTTTGAATGTTCTTTTTATTATGGAATACTACTACTCATCAAATTTAGTCAACCAAATAGTTTGTCAACTCTAAGTAGTAAAAACAGCTATAGAAATTTACTTTCTGATATATTGTTCCACTTGATATGAAGACTCTTAGTATTTGACTAGTGCCTTGAACATTTCTTAGTTAAATTATCAAAGAAAAATTACTTTATGTGGGGATACTTGTTTCCGCTGGAGGTCCACGTGGAGGAATGAACCTTGTAAGCGACCAATTCCTTTACATCTTCTCTTCCTATGTAAAATATTTTTCTTGAAATGTTTCTCTTAATATTCTTCTTGTAATTTGCAGCTATTTTCTAGTCATCCAGGTTAAAAGATGTCCAAATGCAATAACTTTTGCCTCCAACTGTTGCAGTGTTGATGATGGATTTCCTCAAGTCACTTTTCATTTCGAAAATTCTCTATCTTTAAGAGTTAGACCCCATGAGTATCTGTTCCCGGATGTAAGTATCTTCTTTTACTAGTTAGTTTTAACTCAATGAAAGAGTGTGGTCTTTTTTAGTTAGCAGTATGTTTTGAGATTTTTGATCAAATGTAATTAGAATGTAGTTGTCAAATTATCACTTATTGTTAGTAGTGTAGGACTATTGACCTGACAAATTGCTTGAACTTGGAGAGCGGAATGTGAATTGCTTCATAATTGTGTATTTTTTAAAGAGTAGATGACTTCTGCTACTTCAGCTGTGAATTAGGTAGCAACTTCCCATTTGTCATTAGAGTTGCTTTAGTTCCATCATGTGCCAGATATTTGACAGGATTTGCACAAGAGTACCTCCTTCTCCCTTCTAAAGGCTATATAAACAGTTGCAAATAATATCTCAGAACTTTATATTTGTATGAAATTGTCATTGCATAAGCTGTCAATTGATTTTCTCTGAGAATTTATTCTATCTTCATGATCATGTTTACTGAAGTAATCGACGAAGATTTACGGGAATAGTGTATACATTAGTTGATTCTATGTGGAATATCACAGTTGCCAGTAGATCTGACTTCTGTATGCTCTTTCAGGAAGATTTAGTTTGCATTGGATGGCAAAACAGTGGTAATCTATCAAGGGACAATTGGAACCTCACAGTTTTTGGAGGTGTGTTTATCGTTCTTTCATTTTTGTTATTTGCAAATGTCAAGGCTACTATTCTGTGTTTGGATTATTATATTTTGGAATTTGAATCCAGCATTTGAGAGCTCAACTTTTTTTTGCTTGGAAGAAGTGGCAACTATTTTTATCCCAAAAAAATGTCATTTTGTGAAAGAGAGACTATAAATGAAATATCTTGACACGAAATTTTCTTGAACATATGCTTTTCTTTATTTGAAAACTCTGCATTTCGCACTCTGGATAAACAAGTGGGAGCGCTCTAGTACCTCGTTTTGATGATTTACACCCAAATTTTCTTTCCATCTCTTCTATTACTGTTTGAATTGGTCACTTGCTGTGATGATATTGATTAAAGATTTATCCGAATTCTTTCAAATACATTGTATGTATCCTTGGTTGAATGCTCCATCTTAAGAAACTTAAAGACTTCTTTCACTATCTTATGTCTCATTTCCTTCTAAAGCCTTAGAGATATATTGCTGCTATGCAGATTTGGTACTCTCAAATAGGCTGATCCTGTATGATCTTGAAAACCAGGCCATTGGTTGGACTGAATATAATTGTAAGTATAAGCTATATCTGTTCGATACTTGCGCTATATATGCTTTGTCTGGACAAACTTTTTCTTGCATTTGACCTCGAAAATACACAGTAGTAATTCATTTCCCTATGAACAACAAATGCTTTGATCAGCTTTATGAATCAAGATCTTTTGTTATTGCTCGAAAGGTTCGGTTAAGTTCACTGATAAAACTCATCAAGTTTTGTTATGTGGTTGATTGATTGCAGGCTCATCAAACATTTCATTAAAAGATGAAATTACTGGATTAGTTCATTTAGTAGGTGCTCACACCCTGTCGAGTGGTTCTCGTTTGACAGCGCAAATGGCTATGACATTCTTGTTGTTAGCAGCTCTGCTGCACAATCCATTCAACTAGTAAATCTGGTAAGTATTTAGCTTCTCTGGTACCTGAGACAAGAAGCGTGCGTTCGTTCGTTCGACTGTGAAGAAAAAAATACTTCAAAAGTGTTGATACAACCCTTGTAGCTGTGTCTCTGTGTGCATATTTTTGAAATATAGAACAGATTAACAAAGAATTCCATTTTGTATGTTACAAAATGCTTCAATGAAAGTGGAGTTCTGGTTATATTTACTCTTTTCTTATAACATCTAAATAATTTTTATTATTTTTCTGGCTTCAAGTATTAAAATGCTTTTAGAGAAAAAGGTCCAAATTTCATGTTCGATTAAATTAAAATACTTCTTATATTAAAAAGAATAACATTTAGAACATAAGTGGTGTTGATGTTGAAATGACATATTCAATGACATACACTATATGTAATCATAAACTAAACGACTTTTATTATTTCGATATGATTTTCAATTTTTTTTTTATGTTCGATTGATTAAAAAGTTTTAAAACACTTTTTTTTAGGAATATATATTTTTTATAAACGAGGAAATTGGTTCTACTGATAAAAATAACGAAAATAAGTTTTAACAAATATTCTTTCACGTCAATTGTGTCTTCCACACCTTCGAAAATATGTTCCATTAGGTTAATAATAGGAAAATAAATTTCCGTTGTTAATTATATTATAATAAATAAATCTTATTTGTCTCATCGCGATCCCTTATCGAGAATTTCTAGAAGTCATGAGCTACCTAAAACCAAATACGTTATGGCATGCGTACCTAATATTTGGGGCATATTTGAACATGGTACACAGGGAATTTAGTGAACTAAATATATCCACGTATGTGATAGGGACACTTGCTTTTTCACATGTTCCTAAAAATTAAAAAAATATTTTTCAAACTATAAAATTATACGTCAATAAAGATACTGGTGGAGTGTTTTATACTTCTTCATTCTTGATAAAAGGTCTCGAATTCGAGTCCCTCACGTGTACAAAAGTCATCCTTTTCAAGGAGAGCGAATCCCAATTTACTCGAGCTTCAATGTGAGCGATCAGACACCAAATGAAAAACAAAACAAAAAAATTATAAAGTAGTACTCTCTCCGTCTGCTATTCTATTTATATAATACTTTGAAATGTTAAACAACAAACACAATCCAATTTCTTATTCTTCTCCCTTCATCTCATCACTTTCTACCAAAAAAAAAAAAAAACACAAATTTTTCTCCAAAAAAAATAAAATGAATGACCATCAAGAGCATATAGTAATCCTTCCATTTCTTGCACTTGGCCATATGATACCTTTCATAGCCTTAGCAAAAAAAATTCAAGAAAAAACTAACTACAAAATCACTATTGTTAGTACCCCTTTAAATGTCAAATATCTAAGTTCAACTATAGCAAAAGATTCAATTAATTCAAACAACATTTCATTAGTTTCACTTCCTTATAACAGTATTGAGCATGGTTTACCACCAAATACAGAGAACACAGAGGCTTTACCATTAAAACACATGGTAACAATTTTCAACTCAACATTATCTCTTAAAGAGCCACTCAAAAGATTGATTCTTGAAATTATTGAAAAAGATGGTAAGCCCCCTCTTTGTATAGTTTCTGATACATTTATGGGATTTGCAAGTGAAGTTGCAAGATCTTGTGGAACTTTTAATGTGAGTTTTACTACTTCTGGTGCTTATGGAACAGCAGCTTATGTGTCAATATGGCTAAATCTTCCTCATTTGTTGGCTATTGATGGGGTTTTCAAAATGCCTGGTTTTGATGATTCTTGTTGTTTTTTCTCTGTTGAACAACTTCATACATTTATGAAATTAGCTAATGGGGATGACCCTTGGTCTAAAGTGTTGAAATCTTTGTTGTTACCTTCTTTTGATTCTATAGGGTTTTTGTGTAATAGTGTTGAGGATATTGAACCTATGGGGGTTAAAGCTATCAAGAATCTTACTGAACTTCCTGTTTGGTGTATTGGACCTTTGCTTCCTCTATGTATGCTCAAGAAATGTGAAAAAGATTCAATCTTTGAGTCAAGAAGTGGTAAAGATTCAATCTTTGAGTCAAGAAATGGTAAAGATTCAAGATTTGAATCAAGAAGTGGTAAAGATCCAATCTTTGAGTCAAGAAATGGTAAAGATTCAATCTTTGAGTCAAGAAATGGTAAAGATTCAATCTTTGAATCAAGAAGTGATAAAGATTCAATTTTTGAATCAAGAATAGGTAAAGAACATGGGTTGTCACCAGAAGAATGTATTTCTTGGTTGAATGAACATCCTGAAAGATCTGTTCTTTACATATCTTTTGGTTCACAAAACACAATTAGTACATCACAAATGATGGCATTGGCTATGGGGTTGGAAGAAAGTGAAAGGCCATTCATTTGGGTGATTAGGCCACCTATTGGTTTTGACATAAAAGGTGAGTTTAGATCTGAATGGTTACCAAAAGGGTTTCAAGAAAGAGTGTCAAAGAGTCAAAAAGGTCTACTAGTGAAATCTTGGGCACCCCAATTGCAAATCTTGAGTCATAGTTCAACGGGTGCGTTCTTGACTCATTGTGGATGGAATTCGGCATTGGAGAGTTTGAGTCAAGGGGTGCCTATCATTAGTTGGCCTTTGGCTGGTGAACAAGCATTTAATTCAAAGATGTTGATGGAGGAAATGGGGGTTTGTGTTGAGTTAACTAAATGGTATTCAAGTGATGTTGATAAAGAGGATGTGAAGAAAGTGGTGGAAATTGTTTTGGGAGAAAGTGGAAAAGGGAGAGAAATGAAGGAAAAAGCTAATAAAATTGGGATGTGTATTAGAGATGCTGTTAAAGAAGAAGGGGATTTTAAAGGTTCATCTGTTAAAGCATTGGATGATTTCATATCTACACTACTTTATAGAAGAAATATGTCATCTTAAGAAAGGAATTCGGAAGAATCGAGGATCTTTCTGAAATAGTATCTCTTCCTCCATGAGGCAAGGGTAAGTATATGTATACTATACCCTCCTCAAACCCCGACATGTAAAATTATATTAGGTATGTTGTTGTCGTTATCATTGTATTACTTTGTAGGTCACCCTTTTTCAGAACTTTTCTATCTTCACAAGATAGAGGTAAAAGTTGTTGATACGTCACCCTTTTTCAGAACTCACTCATGAAATTACTGGATTTGTTATGATTGTTGTACTACTTTGTAATAGAAATATGTGACCTTAAGAAGGAATTTGGAACAAAGGGATTTTATGAGATTTCTCCTACTAGTGAAATAGAACTTCTAAATTTGTAGCTAAAAAGAATCACTTTCTCTTATTTCAACTATATTAGGCGTCGTGACAAATTAAGTTTATTTTAAATAGTTCACGTTTTAGAAAAATAACAAATATATACTATTTTTTTTAGGATCTACCCTTGATCTAATACGTAGAATTTAAATTAAGTGAGACGTGTTAAGATAGATAAAGAATTATTTAAATGAATACTCTTATAATTAAAATTATTAAACGTCTTGTTTACAAGGTGTACAAAACCTCAAAAACACATTAACTCAGATGATTAGCATTATCCATCTTCAATACGAAAAATTGTTGGTTCGAGTCATCAAGGGAGCAAAAAAGAGAGCCCCGAGGGAGGGGTAAAAAAAAGAGAAAGAAACAATAAGCACTCTGTCACTTTACAATAGAACAAAAGTTTAAGATAATAAACTCACCATTACATATCATGAAAATTGGATCAATTAAAGTTTAGTAAACTAGATATCTCTACACAAAGATCTCACAAAAATTTTAAAGAAAATTCCTTCATAGATCTTCTCCGAAAGACGTCTACTTAAACTCGAATCGTATTTTACCTGAAAATTTTACCTCACTAAACAACACAACCTACAGAGATTCCTAAACAGTTTCTGCTTCTGTATATCCTCTTACCAAAAATTTGCGATACAAAAATGTCAAAATGGACTGGATGACGATAGTACAGTATCCTTGTATCGGGGTCCTGAAGAGGCTACTCATCTTGATTGCTCTTCTCTTTTTTAACGTTAACTGGTATTTCGTCATAAAGACATATCCGCAATGCACCTTCCAGTACTCGTTGGTGAAAGTAGGTCCTATACAAGTCCCAGAACTCATCTCTGCAAAGTGGGGATATCTACAATGAGATCTCGTAAATAGTAGGTAGAAAGGTTAAGGGAGATAGATTGCTGATTTTGTTATTTATAACACATTCTGAGGCGAACGAGTAAGTCAAGGATACAAGGGGAAACAGGGAGGTTGATTCAACACTAGGTTTAAGTATTACTAGTAACTTTAGATCGGGACAAGTGTGTAATCAATTCAAACGTAAAGAGAATCTAACCTGACTTGAGGCAGTGTCAATAGTGAATAGCCCTTCGCGTCAGTTTTCATATCCAGCACAATCACAGCTAAACGAGATAGGCCAAGTGCTTCCACATCTATCAATCTCTTAATCCTGTCACCAGTTTGAAAGAATCAACAGGCCAAATTTTTAATGGTATATGATAGCACTTTCAACCACAAAAGTATCAAATTGCAAATTGGTGCATTTGGGGATACGCCTAGGACATCACCAAGTCATTTTACGTGACATCTTATTTTATTTTTTTGTGAATGCTGTTTGCACCCTCTCGTTGAAGTGATAATGGTTAATCTTTATTCTACTCTTCATTGTTATAATACACATCTTGCGGCTACAAACAAGTCCCACTAAAATCATGCATACTTGCAAGAGAATAACAGCAATTTTAAAACACCATTATGCATGATTTCATCATTCCTTGGCTCACGAGGCTTCATCACCTTTGTGGCAGTATACTCACATAAGTTCATAAAAAAGTCGGTATAAATCAACTGAATTTTATATAAATAGTCATTTTCATTTCATCTAAAATGTCTCATTGTATTGTAGTTGCAAACACATATAAATCAACTGAATTTTATATAAATAGTCATTTTCATTTCATCTAAAATGTCTCATTGTATTGTAGTTGCAAAAACAGACATAACAAATATCAATAGAAAAATAATTCATCAACCAACTTGCAAGGAATACTACACATACCTGCTTGGTGTCCCACTTGCAATATTAACACGATTCTTGAGAGCAGACGCCTGTGATGAATAATAACAAATTATTGAACATGAATGAAAGGATATACTAACAGCAGAGAACTTTTTTGTCAATGATCCAGAAATGTACTTGATGAATCTTGCAAGTAGTATAAAGAATTGTTATATAAGTACAAGCAGTATATGGATACCTGCTCCTCAATCTTCATATGCTTTGAGAAAAGCTTTGCAGCACGGCATTCACCCGTCAAAGGCCGCAATTCTCTGCCAAAGCAAATTTATTTATAGGTCATACTAAGAGAAGACTGACTGATAGTTGAGCTACATTACTAAGAGCTTTATTACAGGATTAAGTTATGCATGCCGAACTACTCAAAGAAAGAATAAGCTCCCACTCAACAAAAGACACCAACCTGAGAAAGTCGCACGAACGCAAGGCAGATAAGCTAATAACCAGAACTGCAGGTTGCCCTGGATCGATTTTCTCATCGAGCTCCTTTTCACATAGACTCTCTTTCCATGATGATCCAAAAGCAACCTTCATATGGTCAGCCAATGCAGTACTAATTTGAGCATGATCAGGATTGAGCTCAAGCATGCATGTCTCTGTATCATTTCAGTACAAAGTAGGATTCATATCGCAGTCAGAAAAGCTATTCAAGCCTAGAAAAAGAATGAATGTATGAGTTTAAATTCATCAAGTACTTGTCCTCCAAATTGTGCTTCTCAATCTAACCGGTAAAAATTGCTCTTCTTCTATTCTTGATTTTCATTGTTTATCAAAATTTTACATTGTTCCAACTAACTGCCGGAAACCTTTTTCTAGCCAAGGAAACAAATAGAAAGACAACTACTACTACGCCTCAATCCATGCTAGTTAGGGTATGAATCCTCAATATCATGAATGCTTTGTTTGAGTCCATAATATTTTAATACTTCGTTCTAAAGGATTACTAAATACTAACACTAGGAGTTCTCTAATATACTCTTAGTGCTTATTTCTAAAATAGCAAGAGTCTTCTAGTTGGATCACTTACATGCATTTTCAACATCCATTGATTCCAATCTTTTGCTAGATTTGCCTTGATTCTGAAATGTTCTAAATCTTTTAACATGACTTCTTTCCATCACAAGAGTAAATGTTGATAGTCTAAATGTAGACTATTTTACAGGGACTTACATATTCCCACACCACAGTACGGGTACCATACAACATCGCTACCTACTGGGGTAAATGGTATGAAATCACCTAGATCTTTTGCCTAGGTACTGATTCCACTGCTATCACTACTATTATATTCACCAATAACCAAGTTTTACCAATACGACAGACTACTTTAGTAGTCATAGCAAGCCATTACTACCTTCCAATGTGACAGAAATCTAAGTAAGCTCTAAACAAGTACTACCAACATTTACTTCCATAAAAAAATTTTATTTACCAATTCAAACCTCTAAAATTTGATCAATCTTCTATACAATTTTTTAACTTGAGCAACATATTTACATAATTTCCTCCAATAACCTAGCAGCTACTGAAAATCATAATAAAGGAAAACCCAACTCCATCAACTTAGTGAGTAGTGCAGAGCCACCATTTAAGCTATGTAGTTTTAGCTCAAACTTTGTATTTTGACAGAAAAAAGAGTAGTCCAGTGCATAAAGCATCTAGCGTCAACAAGGTTCAGAGAACAGTTGGCATCTCCAGGGTTGTGATGTAGACGTCTAACCTAATAGAAGCATTATTGGCTGCTTACCCTACTCGAATTCCAATGGTCAAACTAGGATCTTCTCTAAAGGAGTTCAAAATATGAAACAATAAACACAATCTACTATATTTATAATATGTATAAACAACGTAATTTTCCGCCAAAAAGAGTTTGGATCAACCCCTGGCCCAATCTTGCTTCGCCCGTTCACACTAAGACAACTTTACCATTTATATGAAGGGAAAATGCACAAGTACCACCTGAACTATGACCGAAATTTCAGAGACACACATTAACTAAACTAAAGTCTTATTATCTCTGAACTTATCTTTTTTTTGTAATTTTGTGCACCTTTTGTCTTACGTGGCATACTTCGTAACTCAACTCAATTGAGGCGCGTGGAAATATTTGGATGCCACATAAGCCAAAAAGTACAAAAAATTACCAAAAAAAGTAAATTCAGGTAATAGGATATTAGTTTAGTTAAGTGTGTTTCTGAGATTTCAATCATAGTCTAGAGAATACTTGTCTTGTATAAAAGAAGTTCATCAATCTATCCATCCCCGAGTAAACAAAAAAGATAAAATTGTTGGCTTCCGAATTCATAAACTAAAAATTCTAACTCATAAAACTTGGTTATCCTCATGGCTATATTAGTTACATAATTTCTAAATTACAAATCAAACATCGAATAACTTATACACAAAATTAATACATGAATAACTTGTTTCTTCGAAGAAAGGCGGAAAAAACCTGAAAAGGAATCGAGTTCAAGGGAAGAAAGCTGAATCCTATTAGCTGATTGATACTGCTCATGAAAAAACTCCAGCTGCTGCGCTGCTGTAGGAAAACGAACAATATCAATTAACTTGGTGTCTTTTACTTTAATTTTGGATTTCAAATTTTCAATAGATTCGCCATTGTTGCTGCTGCTGCTTCTACTCTTCTTCACTTTTTCCTTCTTCCTTTTGCTATTCACTACTTTTTTGGGTTGTAAGGGAAATCGCTTCTTCTTGTGCTGCTTCTCTTTGCCGCTCGCCATTTTTGCTGCCTCTGTTCGTTGGTGGCCGGCGTTTTTGCTAGGTTTGAAATAACAATATCAAGGGTACCAAATAAACTCTTTTTTTTTCGTTTTAGTCTGTTTAAAAAAATATATATATATACATAAATTATAATAATAATTAAATTTTAACATATTAATAAAATGATTTATAATTAATTGATCACAATAATTAAAATAGATGGAATATTACATAGGTAAAATCATTATATATAGTATAATATATAAATCTTATATCAAAGTGTATGATAATATATATATAAAAGATATCTATATTTAAGAATATGAATTAATTGTGTATTTATATACAAAAATGTGGGAAATGTGATGTAAACTTTTTGACAAATTTTTTCATGGCAATTTGAGCTATATATTAACCTTTTTTTTTTCAAAAATATAAATTGGGGTATTAATGGATCAAATTATTATTATTTGAGATATTGTTGGATCGAGTTATTATTTTTGTTTGATTTCGTTTTGACCCTTTTTCGATTGATAGATTTTATGTTAGTTTATTGGTTGATAAAGCTTACAATACTCGTAAAAATCTTTCAAGGTTATTAGTTTATTTAAATTAACCTAATGCTTATATTTCTATGAAATTAGAATGAAAAAGAATATATTTATATTTCTAGTATAGGGTGATAAACGGACAATTTAAATTAAATTTAAACGAGTTAAAATTGATTGAGTTAACAAACGTTCAAAAGTTATTTATTGTGCTTAGCGTTCGAATACAATAAATAAGTATTATGGAAAAGGAGTAACTAATGTTGAATGTAAAGTATGAAGAAGAAAAAAAATACTATCTTCGTTTAGTTTTACCTTCGTTTAGTTTTACCTGTAACATTTGAATTTGGTATACCTATTAAGAAAAATGACTATTTTATCACATTATTCTTATTATTTGATGTTTAATATTAAATCTTAAATAATAATTTAAAGAATAAATAATTAATGCTAAGGATAAAAACATAGGGGAAAAATATTTATTTTCTCTTCATATATTATAATGACAAGTAAAAATAGAATTCTATTTGAAATAATGAACAAACAAAAACAAAGAATTTTATTCTTCATATACAATTAAAAAAAAAAACATATAAAAATAAAGATAATAAATAAATAAAAATAATTGAAGGACAAATTTTAATATTTTCCTCCATGTATGACCTCTATGAGAACAAGAGCATTTATCACACTGTAGTTTTTCTGAAACTCTTGTTTTGGGGGATGGATGGATCATTTATCAAAACGTTTTTTTCGTTTCGTATCAAATCAAACATAACGTAATTTAAGATTAAATGTCATAAAAAAAGGGTATTTTTAATTGATATATATGAAAAAAATTTATTTATATCGGGTGTTTATATCAAATCAATGCAAAATGCATTATTACGTGATTTAAAAAAGTAAAATAAAATATAAATTTAAACACATGACATATATATATTGACTTGATATAAACACTCGATACGATACCCGATATATATAATTAAATAACAATAACTTAGTCCATATAATCACAAGAAAGGTTTAGAGACGGTGTGATGTTCACAAATTTTATGAAGTATGAAAATAAACAAATGTGGATTTTCAATAAAAAAATATAATATAAAGTTAAAACAATAAAATACGGCCTATGAATTAAAAATTTGATACATGTATTATCAAAATAGTGTTGCGCTAAATTTAATAAATTATTTCATATAATAATAGTGAATTCAATGCTTGAAATTTGAAAGACACCAAAATGTAAAATTTAATCTTTTTATAAGTCGACAATAACAGATTGTGCATAACACAAAATGTTTTACTATTTGAATAACTTTAAAATATTCAATCATAAAAATAATTGAATGAATTTTCTTTTAAAAAAAGGATAAATATAAAAATATTAATAGTCAAGCAATAAAATAGATAGTCACATCATAAAAAAAAAAGATAGTACAAACACATAAATATTTCGTTTTTTTAATTATTACAACGACCGTCACAAATAAAAATAAAAGAAATTAATTCTAATGATAATAAAATAAAAAAATATATAAAATTAACGTCGCACAATCATTATTTTAGTGATCTTATAATCGAATTGGACCCGGTATTTAGTTTGGGCCAATTTCCCTCCATAATTGACATGAGTATTTATCACACTTATTAAACAGCTTGTAATTTCGTGGAAACTGTTAAAATGGAGGAATCACTTTCCCTTTCAAACAATACTGAAAAAGCATTTATTAATGGCGTTAGGTACCTTTTTACCTCCACCAATCCAATCCATTGCCTTCGATTTTCCACTAAGAATCAAATTCCTTCCTTATCTCCATTAACGGTCCCAAAATTCACTCAAATGAACTAAAAATGGGTAACACTTTCAGATCTACATTTCATAAAAAAACTAGTCGAAGCAGTAGTAGTGATTGCAATTCTTCTAGAGGATCGACGAGTCGAGAGATTTCTTCTTTTCCATCTTCGTTTAATGAGAATTTCAGTTCAATTCCGGCGAAGGATTTGTCTTTCGGTTCGGGTTCTGTGAATTCGAAGAAGGATTCGAGTAATTGCAGTGAAAAGGAACCGGGTTCTGTGAATTTGAAGAAGGATTCGAGTAATTGCAGTAAAAAGGAAACGGAGAAGACGATGAAGGATAAGAAGAACAAGTATTACTATATTCCGGATAATTTCAAATCAGTTGATCAGGTTTTTTTTATCTTTTTTTTTTTGCGTTTACGTATCGAGTCGTGAAAATAGTTACTAATATTTTGAGACGATGAGCTTTGTATTTGACTAGATATCAAATTTGAAAACATAAAATATTATTTTGGGTATCTTAAAATGTTTTTATCTCTTTCTAATATCTATTAGAGCATGTTATTTAGCGTAAAATAAATATTTTATAGTTTACGATAGAGGATTAAAATTTCAGTTCACACTTTAACTAAATTAAGGTGCTATTATTTGAATCTATTTTTTTTTTGTCCAAACATCTCCCACGTACAGTGGTGACATGAAGTGTGTTACGTAAGTAAAAAAATGTACAAAATTATTTTTTTTTAAAAAGAGTCCGGAGACATAATAGGACCGTAGTTTAGTTACGTAGTGTCTCTCGTATTTCGGTTTTAGTCTAGCTATAGTTGTGCATTGTCTCTTTACAATTTTTTTTTAAAAAAATATTTGTGATATTTAGGGTAGCTTATGTGCGACTCGACTAATTTTGTGGGTACTTGCTATTTTCCATTGGTAATAGGTACATAGAATTTTTGTCTTTAGATTTACCAAATAGTTCTCCGCCAGTAATCTGTCTGGTTCAGTTTATTTGTATTACTTTTCTTTTTCATCCGTTTAAAAATAATTTCTCTTTTCCTTTTCTTTTGGCAATTAATTAGTTTTAATTTTTCACATGATATGTTTAAGATCACAAAATTAATAGACATTTGGTATAACTTACGTGTCCTTAGTTTAAGACCATAAAATTAAAAAAGTTTCTTAAACTTCGTGCTAAATCAAAATCAAACAAACAAATCAAAACAAAGAGAGTATTTGTTTATGAGCCTAAAAATGTGGAATAAGAGAGGGAGCAATAAGTTGGCAACTTCTTTTTAAACTCATATTTGGTAGTTTTGTAAGACACTATCTCTATTAATATACAAGTTAAAAAGCTTGATGGAAAAAATGCTAATGTACCATGCACATTGATTATATCTTTACAAATCTATAGTGTATGGAGATTTTTATGCAGTGTATTGCTAGATGTAAACTACGATAGTCGAAACGATTAGTCAAGGGTAAAAATTGTGGTCAACGATGAAACTAAGCATTCGCTCTGGTTCTAATTATTTAGACAGGTAAAAAGAGCAAGAGTAGAGGTATTAGGAGATCTCACATAGAATTTATGTGTACTTCCTTTTACGGGATGAACATTTCGGGAGGCTGCAATCTAAAGATCGTTTTACAAAATGCTGAGTTGTAGAGTGTAAATTGAGCTCATGGCAACGTTTAGCTTCTGTACATTCAGTGTCAAATTCAGAAAATGTCAAAGGACTAAATCGAGAGGAAGGACACCAATGTTTCATCTAGTTATCTATTATACTGCACCTGTTTACTGTTAGGTACAAGTGTCCGTTTATTAATATATCGTTGTTTGCTGTAAATCTAATATTTCTGAATCATCACTTCACTTTCAGGTAACTTTAGCTCTGAGAGAATCAGGGTTGGAGTCATCAAATTTGATTATTGGGATTGATTTCACGAAAAGTAACGAATGGACAGGTTAGTGGAACACTTGAACTACTCTGTCAGCTGAGAATCAATCCCCGTGTGGTATAGAATATGGTAGTTGTGAATGTATTATGACCATTAAAATTTAGCTTTGCCTGATGGTTGTGGCGACAGCAAACAGCCTGTTCCAAGTCGAATACCCGAGAACAAATAGAATTAAAATTGATTTATTAAGTTTTCATCATAGTTTTGCTAGTTCACTTGTTCCACTGTACTGTTTTCAACTTTTTTTGTGTGTGATTAGATGTTCTTTGGAGTGTTTACTCTGAAGGTAAAATTATTTGTTTTCTTTCTGAAGGTAAAGTTTCGTTCAACAACAAGAGCTTGCATGCTATAGGCAACTCAGTCAATCCATATGAGAAAGCCATATCTATCATCGGAAAGACATTGTCTCCATTTGATGAAGACAATTTAATTCCTTGTTTTGGGTTTGGTGATGGTACGTTCCATTCCTAAAGTTTCTGTGTGTAGACTGTACTTACTCTTCTGTTTCAGCATTCACTATCATGTTTGTCTTTTTGATCTTCTGTTGGCTTTTAATTCTGCCGTCAAACTCCTTTTGTTTCATTTTTGGGTTCTAGCGACCACGCATGATCAAGACGTGTTTAGCTTTCATAGTGATCACTCTCCTTGCCATGGCTTTGAAGAAGTCCTAGCTTGCTACAAGAAAATAGTTCCAAATCTGCAATTATCTGGTATCCTTCTGTTCTAATTTGCAAAGTTATGCAAATCTCTTCCTTCATTTCACCTTTTCCTTTTAACATAGCAACCTATTGTCTAAACCACGTCAATGTGACGTCCTGATTATGTCCTTTTATGTTAAAGGGCCAACATCTTACGGGCCAGTAGTAGATGCTGCAGTAGATATAGTAGAGAGATCTGGTGGACAATACCATGTTTTGGTTATCATTGCTGATGGCCAGGTTCTTAAATGCTTCTATCTCTCCCCCCTCCATTAATCAAACAAAACTCACCTGCATGCATAAACACATGCACACATACGTGAAACCTTGTTGACGATAGTCATACACTTCCCGCTGCAAATTGTTGATGTTTTCTCTTGTCCTGTAGGTTACCAGGAGTGTCAATACTAGTGATTCGGAACTCAGCGAACAAGAAGAAAACACAATTAAGTCTATCGTTACTGCCAGGTATAATAACATAGATGTATTTCTTTGTTGATGTAATTCATTTTCAAACTACTCAATGCAGATAAGTCAGGTTCCCTTGGGCTATCGAAACCTTCAGGTGTATAAAATATAAGGTTACCGTGGAACAAGGTGTTGTGAACTAGTAACAATAAACCAATGACGTGCCGGAAAATACTTGTTATTGCATGTTGTCTGATAACTCACTTTCTTAAAGAATTATTTACAAAAAGTATAATTCTCAAACATCTAGCATTTGTTCCCAGCATGTATCCTCTCTCCATTGTACTTGTTGGAGTTGGCGACGGACCTTGGGAAGACATGCAAAAGTTTGATGACCGTATACCTGCTCGTGAGTTTGATAATTTTCAGGTATAATTCTAGTATCTTTAAGTTACATATAGAATCGTCAGTAGAAACAGACATTAGTTCTTACAATCCTTTTTTCGTTTGCAGTTTGTGAATTTTACTGCTATCATGAAAAAAAATACAAGTGATTCGGGAAAAGAAGCTGCTTTTGCTCTTGCTGCACTCATGGAGATCCCTATCCAATATAAAGCAGCTAGAGAACTTGGTCTGCTTGGGTATGGAACACATTACTAGCTTTACTATTGGCATCTCACATCAGTTATACATGTTATTCAACAAAATGCCTTATATTATGAAGTAGACTTTTTTCGTCTTCTTAGTTCAAGTCCTAAAAATGTGATCTTAAACCATAGAACACGGGAAACCATGGTAATTCAGTTAGTTGGTTACCTGAACTTTCACCTTATTCGTGGTGGTTCAGTAGCTCTCTCTCTCCTCACAGAACACTAAAAAGTAAAAAAAGAAAAAACACAGAGTACTTACTAAGTGACAGTAGTAAGTACTGTTTCCGTTACTTATGGCATCTGGGGAGGATACGATATATGCAAACCTTATCCCTACCTATTGAAGGTAGAGAGATTGTTTCCATTAGACCCTCGACTCAAGTAAAGCAAATATAAATGTCTTGGTGGATCTGTGAGAAATGAAGCTCTTGAATTTAATCCATACACTCAATAACTGTCTTTATTGTACTTGTTACTCATTTTGTGATTTTTCTTGTACAGAAAAAGGACAGGTAAGGCGAAGAAGGTAGTTCCAAAGCCGCCACCAGTCCCTTACAGTCGCCGTATGGCAACCCCAACTCGACATCAAAGCAGTTTTTCAGGATCGCCGCAAAATGAACAGAATCAAGTAAGACCTTTTATATTTCTTGGTTTTGAAATTATACGTGAAATTTCGATTCATGTTTCCACTTGATAATAAGAACGTTGAGATTTTTATACTGCCTTTGGTGCTTCTCATGTTGAACATGCCATTTCTCCTTTTTCTGAGGTAATTGAGTGATGGAGACCTTAGACACGAATTAGGGTAGTAGGTAGTTAAGTATTGTCTCGCTCATCTTGTAGTTTCTTGTTATTAGAGTTCTGTTACTATTTATTTATTTCTTCATTTCCGTTATTTTCTTTTTTCAAACTGCTTTGAAATGTTTCTCCTTGAGTCGAGTGTCTATCGAAAACCTATCTACCTTCAGAGTAGGAATAAGCTCCGTGTATAGACTTCCCTTCCCAAACCTCACTTATAAAATTACACTGGTACGTTATTGCTATTTGAGTGTTTGGACAATTGATCTCTTTTTCTTTTCTTTGTTCACAATGAAGGCTTGCCCAGTTTGTCTAACTGGTACTAAAGATATGGCTTTTGGTTGTGGACATATGGTGAGTTCCTTTCCTCTACTATTCAATTTATTGGATGATTTCCATTCCTCCCCTCCATCGATTTCTCGTATATGTCATTCAACTAACAGTTATTATCTCATAAAATCATGTTTCGTCTTGATTCCATTTTTCGTTAACAAACAAAATAACTTTCCGAAATAATTACTGTTAGTCAAGTGACTATATGAGGATTCAACTCGCTTTTTATCTGGTGTTAATGAATTTGTGGTCAATTGAACGCAGACCTGCAGAGAATGTGGTCCAAGAGTGTCGGATTGTCCAATTTGTCGTAGACGAATAACTAGTCGTATCCGGTTATACACTTAAAATAGATACTTAAATGACGGGTGTATGTAAATATATGTTGTATATTTCTCGAGTTTAACTTTGCTTTTATGTTGATAATGTAAAGAATTTCTACATTATCACGTTATTTTTACTTATCTGTAGTAAGTAGGTAACTTACCTTAATTTTAAAATTATAAACTCTACGTTTGTTAGAGTGTTATCTATAAACATATCAATTTTGTTTATTGTTAATATATATTAATTATTAAAACTTTATTATCATGTATGCTAAAATATGTTAATTTTTTTTTTTTCATAATTCAAGAAAATTATTTATGTTTTTCAAAAAAAAAAAAAGTCGCCGTCTGTGGGGATCGAACCCACGACCACGTGGTTAAAAGCCACGCGCTCTACCACTGAGCTAAGACGGCTTGATTGATAATTCTTAATTAACATTATAATTACATTTAAGCCATATTTGCAGTTACTTAATTGTACAAAATTAATTTGCCTTATTTTTTGATTAAAAATTATAATTTCTTGATTGTGTTCAATTAAGCATGGAGTTTATGAACGAAAGCAAGATTGACATTTGATAAACAAATAAAGTATACTTAAGACTTATGATCGATCTTAAATATAATTTATTAATGGTAAAATAAAAATTAAAAAGTTATTAATATTTCAATTTTAAAAAGTTGTCCCTTTTCTTTTTTAAAAAGGCTGTAAACACTACTTTGGGGAAGTGTTGGACCACAAATATTGCTTTATTAATTCTAATTGAGGAAAAACATTAGTCAACCTTCCAAAACCAGCAAAGCTCCTCTATAAACAAAGGAACAATCTTGTCATTTTCTAATCACATGCTATAAGTTTTTATTATTGAATAATGTCAACAACAAAAATAAATTCAGTGTGATTTCATTAGTGCAATCTGCCGTTAAACGAGGTATATGAAGACGTAATTTTTATCTTTACGGATATAGAGACTGAATCTGATAGACCTTCGATAAAGAAATTATTAAAAATTATCAATAACAAGAACAAACTCAAATGTTATTTCATAAGTGGAGTCTGGGATTGAAGCGAGGTGTACGCAGACTTAACCTCTACCTCTGTAGAAGAGAGACCTCAAACTCAAAATTTTATTGAAAAATTATCAATAACAAGAACAAACTTAGTGTGATTCCATAAGTGGAGTTTGGACTGAGTGACGAGTACGCAGACTTAACCTCTACCTTTGAGGACAGAAAGATTGAATTTGACAGACATTTTATCCATTGAAAAATGTTAACCTGAACAAACTCAGTATAATTTCATATGTGGAGTTCGAGGTGAATGAGATGTACATAGACTTTTGTGGGATGGAAAGACTGAATCTGATAGACCCTCGACTCTGTTGAAATTGAAGATGAAGATGTGCATGAACTCCATTAATGGAGCAGAATATGCATACGAGAGATGAACAGTGCAGGCATTTAGAGAGCAATCTGTTGAGTTTGTGAGAAAATACAAATTGTGTGTTCTTCACCCATGTGACTAGTATTTATACATGTAATGGACTCCTAACTAACTTCATATAACTAACTAACAAAATCTAACTAACTAACTAACTCCTTTACAATGGTATAATTAGTTGAATTAAGTATAACTAATCTTAACACCCCCCCTCAAGTTGGAATGGATATGCTGCCAGACAACTTGCGTAAAATGGTTGAATGCTTTGGTCCAGTGAGGCTTTTGGTTAAGATATCAGATAGTTGTTCATCAGTAGGAATGTGATGCAAAGTCACAAGTCCTTCATGTAGTTTGTCTCGAACAAAATGACAGTCCACCTCTATGTGCTTCGTTCTCTCATGAAACACAGGATTGTTTGCAATATGAATGGCTGCTTGACTGTCACAGAAAACAGATATAGGTCGAGAAGGTTTTTCACCTAATTCACAAAACAAACGTTCCAGCCAAACCAACTCTCCAACCACTTTTCTTATTGCCCTGTACTCTGCTTCTGCAGAAGAAAGTGAAACAGTAGTCTGTTTCTTAGATTTCCAACTTATAGGACAATTCCCCATGAGTACTATGTATCCACTTACTGATCTCCTGGAATCAGGGCATGCAGCCCAATCTGAATCGCAATATGCAGTGATGGTGTAGTTAGGATCTTTGGATAGATAGATTCCCAGAGTATAGCTATTCTTCAGATACCTCAATACATGGAAAGCAGCCTTTAAGTGAGGCTCTCTAGGTGTTTGTAAGAACTGACTGAGGTGTTGTACACTGAATGCAATGTCCAATCTGGTATTTGTGAGAAAATTCAACTTTCCCACTAACTTCCTGTAGTATGTTGGATCAGTTAACAGAGTTCCTTCATGAGACTTCAACTTGATCACACTATCGAGAGGAGAAGTAGATGGACTATAATGTGAGCAATCAAACTCTTTGAGTAGGTCTGTGGTGAACTTCTTCTGTGTGATGAGTACTCCATCCTGTCTGTAGAGGATCTCCAACCCCAGAAAATAGTGAAGTTTTCCTAGATCCTTAATTTTGAACTGGTCATGTAAAAATGACTTTAAAGATGTAATCTCATCTAGATCAGTTCCTGTCAATATTATATCATCAACATACACTGCTACAAACACCTTAGTTGATTTGTCTTTCTTGTAGAACAATGAGTAATCACTGGTAGAATGTGAATATCCCCTTGAATACAATATCTTTGCTAGTTTTTCATACCATTGCCTACTAGCTTGTTTCAACCCATACAAAGACTTGTTAAGTTTACAGACAAGTCCTGTTCTATTCACCTGCAGCCCCTGTGGAAGTTCCATATAGACTTCCTCATTCAAATCTCCATGCAGAAATGCATTATTCACATCCAGCTGATATAGATCCCAACCTTTCTTAACAGCTAGACTGATTAATAGTCGCACAGTGGTCATCTTTACTACTGGAGAGAATGTCTCATTATAATCAATACCAGCTTGTTGAGTGTATCCCTTGACTACAAGCCTAGCTTTGAATCTTTCCACAGTTCCATCAGCCTTGTGTTTGATCTTGTATACCCATTTGCATCCAATTGGTTTCTTCCCTGCAGGTAAATGAACTAAACTCCAGGTATTGTTAGCATGCAAAGCTTCAAATTCAAGTGTCATTGCTGATTGCCAAGCAGGAATCATGGCAGCCTCTCCATATGTGCTTGGTTCACTATCATGAAATATGTTTTTTAACTAATTGCTGACTTTCAGTATTAAAACTGGTAAGAGAGAATTGTTGATCATTGGTGTTGTTGATTCCATTTGAAGAATGGTAAATTGATGATTGAGGTTGTAAGTTGGGAAGATTATATGTGTATTCATTTAGGTATTTTGGTACAGAATGTGTCCTACTAGTTCTCCTAGGTGTATTGGTTGATCTTTGTGAATTGGAAGTGGTAGTAATAGGTTGTTGTGAACTGGAGACTGAGGTATTAGAATTGGTGATATGTGGAGATATTTCTGGATTAGTTGATGGAGTAGTAGTATTATCAAATGAAGTCTCAGTGTGTGGTAAGTTGGCTTTAACAGAGTTATCAGTGACAGTAATTAGGGCGTTTTCATTCAAATCATGAACATTATGCAAAGGATTGTTTGTACACTTCCACAGTTCAGAGTTAGCATCAAGACACTTCAATACAGAATTAAAACTTGAATCAGGAAAAGAAAGAGCAAAAGGAAAGATACTTTCATGAAACAAGACATCTCTAGAAATATGTACTTTCTTGGTGCTCACATTTAAGACCTTGTAACCCTTTGTGTTGAATGGATATCCAATGAAAATGTGAGGAACTGATCTAGGTTCGAACTTATCTTTGTGAGTTTTAAGAGTAGTAGGATAACAAAGACAGCCAAAAGATCTTAGGTGTGAATATGTAAGTGCTTTTTGGTATAGTACCTCAAAAGGAGTTTTGTTTTCAATAGCTTTGGATGGTAATCTGTTCACCAGATAAGTTGCAACCAAAATGCACTCTCCCCAATAATTCATGGGAAGTTTGGACTGATACAATAAGCTTCTAGCAATCTCAAGTAGGTATTTATGTTTTCTTTCTACAACACCATTTTGCTGTGGTGTGTATGGACAGGTTCTTTGATGTATGATACCTTTGTTTTGCAGAAAGTCAGTTGTTTCTTTATTGACAAATTCCATACCATTATCAGTCCTTATTGTTTTTATGGTGATATTGAACTGATTTTCTACCAAGGATGTGAAAGGCTTTTATGGCTTGGAGGCTGTTACTTTTACAACTGATAAGTTGAGTCCATGTTGTCCTGCTATAATCATCAACTATTGTGATGAAATATTTGTAATTGTCATATGTTGGTGTATGGTAAGGTCCCCATAAGTCTATGTGGAGAAGTTCAAATATTTTTGTAGAAAAAGGTGTTGATTCTGATGGGAAAGGCATTCTTGCTTGTCTTGCCATGGGGCAGACAGTACATGTAAAAGGTTGTTTGGATGAGAATTTAACAGGTATAGTGTGGATACCCTTCATCTTAACAAAAGGAACATGTCCTAATCTAGTGTGCCACAAGTAGTCTACAGTATTTTCATGAGATGTACATAATGAAGGAGATTTAGTGGAGCCAGGGCAATTAATAGGAGTAACATATGAATTCACGTTACAACAGGCTGTTTTATTTCTTGGAATGACAGATGAGGAAACATGATGTAAACCTTGTTCATTTTGAGCATGTGAAGAAGAACAATGAGATAATGGTGAAAAAGAGTAGACAGAATTGGGACACCTTGAGCAGAAGAAGTAAAGGCCACTCCTTGATCTACCAATCACCAGAGGGCTCTTCAGTGAAGGGCCCTGCAAAGAACATGATTTATCATTGAAGATAATTGCACTTCTAAGGTCAGAGGTCAAACAATGTACTGAGATCAAGTTAAATTTGAAAGTAGGAATAAACAACACATTGTATAAAGTCACTATTGAGTTTAAACATGCATTCCCAATCTCTGTCACTTTAACCCTATAGCCATTTGGTAGTGTTATTAGGAAAGGGTAAGGCAATGGTCTGATGTTGGTAAGTAAATTTTTATTGAAAGTCATGTGGTTTGAGGCTCCAGAATCAATGATCCAAGATTCAGCAGTTAGTTTTAAACAATTACATGAAAGATTACCAATATCAGTGATGGAAGAATGACATGCCAAGATACCTGCAAAGTTTGCAGCTCCACCCATGATGTTATCCAAAGTGTCTTTGCTGCTGTGAGATGATCCTTGCACCTGGACATTTTCAAGCAATCTCACCAGATGATCATATTGGTCTTTGGTTAAATTTTGAGTTCCATGAGCATGTTCCAGTGGTGTTTCACTATTGTTGTGAGCAATTGCTGCTGATCCAGAATTCCTTCCCTTAGTGAATTTGAAGTTTTTGGGAAAACCATGCAACCTGTAGCATTTCTCTTCTATGTGTCCTGTCTTCTTACAGTAATTGCAAAATAGATTTGCTTTGTTAATATCAGGAAAGGGATAAGTCCTATTGTCCTGCTGATGCTGAGAATGGTCTCTGTGTGTGCTTCTATTTGTGCTTTTATCTTGAGAGTAATTTGTTCTAAAACTTCCTCTTCCAGAAACAGCACTTAGTGAAGTAGAAGCTCCAGAGCTAGCATCCAAGTTCATGCGAGTGGATGGCCTGACTTCTCGTTGCTTCTCTTCTTGGACTAGAATGGAGAAGGCTTGTGCCATAGTTGGCAATGGGTTCATCATAAGAATACTCCCTCTGACGATCGTATAGACCTCGTTAAGCCCCATTAGAAACTGGATAAGCTTTCGATCTTGCTCTGCCTTGTGCATTTTGGTCTTACCACCACAATTGCACAAACAAGTACATTGAGTATTAGGATCCAGAGTATTAAGCTCTTCCCAGAGTCTTCGAAGCATGGAATAGTACCCTGTGATGTCCAGATTTCCTTGGGTGAGATCATTAATTTCCTGTTGAAGTTGGTAAAGTTTCGCACCATTCGTCTAATCATACCTATCCTGTAGTTCCTCCCACAATTCCCTTGCATTATTAACATATTGCAGACTATCAGCTAAATCCTTTGATAGAGAATTGAGGATCCATGATGTAACCATATCATCACAACGTTCCCATTGGGCAAATGTAGGTGAAGTTTCAGTTGGTTTCTGCACCTTGCCATTAACAAAGCCTACTTTGTTTTTCACAGATAGTGCACGAAGAACTCCACGTCGCCATGATCTGTAACCAGTTCCGTCAAAAATCACTGGAATTATAGCAGATCCAACACTTTCTGATGGATGCATATACAATGGCTGACTAGCATCGATGACTTGCTGATTTGGAATTGGAGGAACAACTGCATTTTGATCCATGGGATTGTAAGGCTGATGGAAATTGAGCTGAACTTTCGTGATGCAAGTGCAGAAATCGAGAGAGAAAAAACGAGAAGATGAAGAACAGATTGCTCTGTGAAAGAAAGTGAAAAATCGATGAATGCTGCAGAAGATGAAGAAGAGATCAATGCCTATAGCTTTGATACCATGTTGAAATTGAAGATGAAGATGTGCATGAACTCCATTAATGGAGCAGAATATGCATACGAGAGATGAACAGTGCAGGCATTTAGAGAGCAATCTGTTGAGTTTGTGAGAAAATACAAATTGTGTGTTCTTCACCCATGTGACTAGTATTTATACATGTAATGGACTCCTAACTAACTTCATATAACTAACTAACAAAATCTAACTAACTAACTAACTCCTTTACAATGGTATAATTAGTTGAATTAAGTATAACTAATCTTAACAGACTCAAAATTTTATTGAAGAAAATGTCATACTTTACAATGATTGATATCAGCAAACAAATACACTTTCATTGTACTCCTCTTCATCCATAGTATCACTCAATGTCCTTCCTTTAGTTTCTGGCAAACACAACACAAACAATCCACAAATTGCTATACAAATCCCAAAAACTCCATAAGAAAACCATCTATTTTTTCTCCCAAAAGCCACCAACATTGGACTAATTGCACCACCAAGTACCAATGCCTGTCTCACCATTGACACTGCTGAATTTCTAACACAAGTTGGAAACAATTCAACAGTGTAAATTAACAAAACATTAAAACCAGTACATGCACTAAAAAATGAAAGAAGTTCAAACCCCATTTGTAACACTTTAAAATCATCATTTTGTACTACTACACAACCTATACTACATATTCCACTTAACATAGCAAATGCTAATAGTGATTTTTTCCTAGTTAATTTTCCAATTAGGAAAAATGTTACTATGGATGCTGGTAATTCTGATAGTGCATTAAGTGTAACACTTAGGTATAGATTAAAAGGTAAATTTCCAACACCTAATGGCATCCCATAATATACCATTCCTATGCCAAAACCAACCAACATAACCGATATAAGTCGTCTAAAAGCCCAATTTCTTTCGATCAACATCTTGATAGCTGAGTAGAGATTGATTGTTGATGACTCGTTCGATTTCTGTATTAGAAAATAAGATAAGTTACTTGCTATAACATGTAAAAATTTCATTCAATGACGATATATTAAACTTGCTCAAATATATAGTCTAAGCAACAAAAAAATATAGAGAGGGGTTTGAACACATTCATTTTCTTCAATTTGTTTATACACAAAGTTTTAAGAAAAGAGCGAGGGATCAAAACTACACCTAAAGTATCTTAGGTTTTCAAGGTTCTATATTTGAAAACGTAGTCACCAATTATTTATCGAAACATGTTAGTGAGTAAACCAACTATACACACTTCAACTATCAGTTGTTCCTTTTTCCTATACCTAAATAATGGTAATATTCCAGTAAGAAAAGGGAACAACCGATAGTTCATATTGTGTGTTTCGATAAACATTTGATGATAGTAATTAAGATAGAATAATGGACATAAAGAGTACGTGACGTTCATTTTTAAAAAGACTTTTAAAAGCAAAGTAAAACAAACAAACAAACTGAAAAGTGTAACAGATCTCGAAGGGAGTAATAACTTACATTATCATGTTCTTGATCTTCAAATTCAAAAAAGGATCCAAAGAAGCTCAATGTCAAGCTACTCCTTGTTGTAATACTTTTCAAAGTTGACACAAATTCCTCTTTGTTCCCTCTTACATAAAGCCATCTTGGTGATTCACAAACCAAAAAATGTACCAAAATTGAGTACAAAATTGTTGGAATACATGTCCACAAATACATCACTCTCCATGAAGACTCTTTATTCAAAAAAGCAATAATTGGCAATGATAGAAAACCAATAGTAAAACAAACAAAACCAATTATACCAACTTGTCCACGCCATTGATTCCCTACTAACTCTGTTGATAAAACAAGTGCACAAGTCCCAATAGTAGCCCTTCCAAATCCACTCAAAAACCTCAAAAATGAGTAAATCCAAATGTTCGTTGAGATCGATGTAATGGTTCCGGCTAGTGACATGACAAGACATGAAAAAACCAACGTGTTTTTTCGTCCGAGTTTTGTGTCAGCCAATGTGGATAACACCAAACCTCCAATAAGACAACCTATGAAAAACGAAGACGCTGGTAATCCATTGAGAAGTGAACTCACCCCTTGTTGTTGTTGTTGTAACGACCATTCATTAACGGCATGTGTATCGGTGAAGACACTGATAAACGTTTGTTGTGCATCGAAAACCCACGATAGAGATACGAGGACGGATTGTAACAATTGTGCCCATCCAAATTCACCAATGCACCTCTCTATCGTCTCATCGAGCGTTTTCAATGTATTTTTTCGATTTAATAACGATTGATCACTCATATTATTTTTTAAAAAAATTTGTGTATACAAATTAAAAGTGTATGTGGATTTTGAGCACCTTGAGAACTTTAGTTTATATATTAAGAAGAAAAAAACCACTAGTTGCATTTTTAATTTTTATTTAATTAAGGTCCCACAAATTAGGCAAGACAATACCAGTATTCGTTCAAAATCGAATCGAAACCGATAAAAAAAGGTATTGGTTTATAGTATTGGGTTATTGGTTTAGTGGTTTTTGATTTTTTTTGTTATTGGTTTATTGATTCTTAACGGTTTAGAGTTTTTTCTTAATGGGTTAACCGATAACTCGATATTAAATTAAATAATTATATTTATATCGTTTTGTATATAAAGTCCTTGACTGGGAGTTTAATTTCCTACTTTTATTTTAGGTTGTTTCAAACACTTGATTATTCTACAACGTAAAAGTGTTTGCTTTTGAGCAAGATGTAACTTGTGAACTCAAGTGCATGGTTTATTTGGTTTGTTCCCTTGTTTCTAAGTGATTTTCAATGTTTTTTCTTTTGTGTCAAATCTTAACGGTTGAACCAATAAATTTATAACCAATAAGCCAATATCTTAATGGTTTCATAACGGTTTAGCATCTCTACAAACTGATAACTAATAAATCAACCTGATAAACTTTAAAATCGAAGCGAACCGACCAATACACACGGCCCTAACCAGTAGAATTATGATTTGCTGGTATTCAACATTTAGATAATTTCATAAATAATTAATTTGTATTCTTGAAGGATCATATCATATTGATATCATGTGTGAATGACAAGGATCTGATTGGACAGATCCTTCTAACAGAAAAGGATAAAAAAAAATATTTTAAAATTATGTATAATTGAAAAAAAAAATGTTTTTAATTAATAATTTGATCCGAAAATCACCTTCTTATAGTTACTTTTGGATTAAAGCGCCTTTTTTTAAAAAAAATAATTTTTTTCTTTTAAAACATATCTTTTTTCTTATAAAAATATTGTAATAAATTACTAATTCTAATTCAGATTCGTAATATAAAATAGAGAAGCATTTGCTGATATATATAATCTTGTAGTTTTAAAATAAAAATTATATGTAGAATATGTCTGAATATTCTTTAATTTATTGGTCTTAAACGAGAATTAAAAAACTACCAAAATAAACGAGACATCATACTTTTTGAAATGAAAAAAAAAAAACTAAAACAAATGAAATATTACATTGTATTAATTAATTGTTCTTAAAGAACACGTATTTGCTGTATCCATGGGGACAAGTTATATATTATATCTTTATAATTAATCAATTCCTAGTTATAAATGACAAAATTAACACGAAATTAGATGATTGTTAAAAGATTAACAAAAAAAATAATTGTTATATAAACTACCTAATTAAGAAAAAAAAAAGGTCCTTTAAACATTCTCATGTGTTGAAAAAGACTTAAAAGACGAAATAGACCAATTGACAAGAATTGTGACGGGGTCTTTTTTTTACAAGCGTTTACTCTTGATATAGAATTTTTCAGTACGAGTTTAAATTTAATTCGGCTTTAATATTAATATTAAATATTGAGTAAAAAGTAATTTTTTTTAGAGAAATAAAACATTAAGGATTGTGGTGGCTTTCTATAGAATGCATTTTACTCTTAATGTAGAATTTTTTCAATATAAATTTAAATTTTATTAAACCTTAATATAAATATCGATCAATAAATAAGAAAAAAAGATAGAAGAAATAATGGAAAGGAATAATTCGAAATGTTTGGTACGCATGTGAATCTATAGTGAATATTAATTTGTACTTCTTGTGGTATTTATTATTTGAAATATATTCTAAACTTATATTTAAATTCCATTGATTTTAAATCCTAAATATTTATTGCTAGAGGAATAAATAATTCATATGATTATATCTCATGGTGCCAAATGATATAAAGAATCATTGGCTAGAATTTAAAATTTAAAAATTAATGATTTTTGAAATAATATTTTCAAATTAATATGTATTTATATTTTATTTTGTTGTTTTATTTTTAGTTCTTTATTTAACAACTATTTAACCTAATATTTCATCTGATGTTTAAGATTATGATGAAATTAAATGACATTTTAATATATATATATATATATATATATATATATATATATATATATTCAAAAGCATTTTTTACTTTATTAAAGCTCATGCTCAATTAAAATTGTGTGTTTAGCTAGATTTTCACAATTTACTTAGTTATGAAGAGTTGCGATTTGTATTTAGATAATTAATTTAAAAAATATTTTTATTAATACAAAAAATTATTTTGTATTAAGCTAATATTTTGAAAGTATGTTTGAAAATCATATTTACTTATTTTTTCTTTCTATGAAAATATCTATATTAATATTACATATATTATTTTTCTAATACAGTCAACTAAACGATCCAAAAAATATATATATATAAATTAAATTTTTGCAATATGTTGAATCCGCCCCTATTATTCTCATGTACCATAGTTTTGATGAAAAATAAAACTAACAAATAAATAGATTATAATTAATTAAGCTAGTGGATACACTAGGATTGAGTTGGCAGATTTGGCGTTTTTTATTTTGGATAACAATAAAAATAAGTCAATTTAGACAGCAAGTGCACAACAATTATATTCCACTTGTTTGTATTATATTAGTTATTTTTATTGTCTTAATTTAATTTAATTTAATTTGATATTACTTATTTATTATTTATTGTGTTTAAGTGATTATATTTTGTTGTTGTTATAAATTTTTTGTCTATATCTTTTAGTTACTTTTATCATTTTAATTTATGTGATGTTATTGAAGTCGATATGAATTATTTATGGTTTATTGTGTTTATTTGATCATATCTAGCTTGTTGTTATAATTTCCTTGTATATACATTTTAGTTATTTTTATCATCTTAATTTAAGTGATATTATTTAATTTGATATTAATTATTTATTATTTTATTGCATTTAAGTGATTATATTTTGTTGTTATACATTTTTTTGTCTATATCTTTTAATTACTTTTATTATTTTTAGTTTATGTGATGTTGAATTCGATACGAATCATTTATGATTTATTGTGTTTATGTGATCGTATATAGCTTTTTGTTATTGTTGTTATATATATTTTAGTTATTTTTATTGTATTAATTTAAATGACGTTGTTTGATTCGATACAGATTATCTATGATTTATAGTGTTTAGGTAATTGTTATCTTGTTGGTGTTGTTGTTACGGTCTTGTATATGTATTTTTAGTTATTTCATCGTCATAATTTAAGTGATGGTGTTGGATTCGATACGGATCATTTATGATTTATTGTGCTTAGGTGATCGTACCATGTTGTTTACGATTTCTTTGTATATATATTAATTCTGCATTGACTCGCTATTAGTTGACATGTTTCCTCCACTATTGTTTTTATTTAATTACTGTTTTAATTTGCTTGAGTCAAGGGTCTTTCGAGAACAACCTCTCTAACTTAGCGAGGTATTGGTAAGGGTTATGTACACTCAATCTTTTCTAAATTACCTCATTTTAGTACGATTTCACAGAATATGTTGTTTGATTCACTATCGAGTATTAAAAAGTTTTTTTTTAAAAAAAATATGATCTAAAATATGCCATAGATTAATGTGACGACTATAAATTATCTCATTAAAAATAAAATGTATATTTTAAAGTAAAATTGCTAACAAATATAAGACAAGATGAACTTAACACTTTTCATCTCAAATTACTTTGGAAATAATTCGATCTACAATGAACATATAATGTATTATTTTTAGACTCAATAAGTTAAAGGGCTCCATAAATAGTTAAATTGATTATCAAACAAAAAATTATTAGGATTAATATGAATTGTGATAGAATGATATAGAAGTCTGCATCCTTAATTAATATGAATTGTGATAGAATGAATTGTGTCTCGTATTTTAAGGCAAAAAAAATTGAATTATAATAATTCTACAATAAGAAACCCAAACTCTTTTATCAAATAGATATAGTAAATATATCCACACTTTTACATGTAGACTCGTATACATACAAATTAAAATTCAGTAATAAAATATAAAACACATATACATATATATCAATATATACCAAACAAGACTTTTATTTTTTGGGTATATATATAATATATAATATATATTATGGTTGATTTTTTTTTTCAGATTATCACTCAACTATAATAGCTATTATCTCATAATTTCAATTTTCTTCGATAAAAAGAAAAATGACTTTCTGAGTTAATAAGCAATTTAGCTGAGTGACTATCAAACAAAAAATCCGTTACACAAAACATCTGACATTGACACAGAGTTCGAGAACGGATCGCACCCCGAGGAGAGGGGGGTGATTTATAGGCGACGACCACCGGTACCACCTTCCCTATTGCAATTGAAGTAAACAGCAGCAACAGGCAAACCTAGATTGTGAAACCTAGCAAAGTCTCTTGTGTTGAAATTTTGTCTAGAATCGATTATGTCCGGTGCATCGATGGCATCGCAGCCCAATTGTCGATACAACACGAAAATATAACGATGGATTCCCATTGAGGGTCGTGGGCTCTCGTAGCCCACGACTTCATTGCCTGTATAACGAGAGTTTGAGTTTAGTAACAAAGACATTCAATACGCGTATTTTCCTTGTTTCAAAAACATTTATATACATAGTATATACTTCATTTTGATTTTATGTTTCTTTTTAAGTCTTATTTTATTAGTAGTCATAATTGGGCCTATAGTACTAATAATGTACTACTAAGGTGATGATGATACAAGTTGTATTTTGTATATTACTAACCGTCTTATATTAAAAATGTAGTGATACGGATACAATGTATCGTAAATATAAAGTATATTTAAATTTCTTGCTTCGTCACTGCGTAATTACGAGCCATTAGGTAATAATGTAAGAAAAACTTACCAAAGGTTGCTCCTGTGGCTGCTGGGATATCTGTGACCAACCTATTAAAAAAATAATGTGTTAAACATTATTATTATTATTTTTTTTTTAAAAAAAAAAAGAGGTTTAGGTACATTAATTGTAAGGGGATTAAGCAATCGATAATAGTTATTATTTTTTTACGTTGTTATTCGATATTTGGTATTTATTTGAAATATTGATTAATTTGTGTATCAGAAAGTTATCATTTTATGAAATAATACTTTCCTTAGGTTCTTATATAATCTCACATACATTTTTGTCTTCGCTATCGACGATTGATTTAAGAGAAATAAGAAGTATATAACAAAATGAATATTTTTATCTATTTATATAATATATATATATATATATATATATATATATAATATAAGCTAGATGACTTACCAGTGCAAATATTCCCTCAGGTTTGGGTTGCTAGGGTTTGGAGCATCAGGATCCACCATAATCTTCCAAAAAGAAAAGAAACATTTCAAATATTTTGAAAATTAGGAAAAATAATTTTCCATATTGTATATCCAAATGTATTACATGACATTATTAGTAATTTAAAAATATTGTATATTTTCAAGCTTGCAATATTAAACATACATGTTACTAACATTTTTTATTATCATAAATAGTATGTTATGAGTTCTCAAATTCAAATAAAAACCACAAAACAAGTACTTAGATGGTGAATCAAAATTAAAACTAACACAAATTCACATAATTAGAAGCCTTTGCACATATTGTCCTTTTGATCTTCTACTCATAATCAATTGACAAAAGGTTAATAATTTAGAGATATTAAAATGTATAAATAGAAAGAAAATATATATATATATATATATATATATATATATATATATGTATATCATATGAAATAAAACGATGAGTTTATACCAGAGTGTAAAAAGTACGAAGATCGTCTCCATCAATGTCAACCCTAGGTTGATTGACAACTTGTGAAGGCCTCAAGGAACATCCATTATAGACCACCCTATTGTTGTAAACCACACCAAAGTCTACACATCTTGTGAATGGATCAACAACATCTCCAACAACTCCAGAAACTATTAAAGGATCTCTAGGCATGATTTTTTTTCTTCTCAATTATAATTAATAAGCTCAATTTTTGTTTATTACATGAGATGGATGGATGATATTTTATGAGTAGACAAGAGCTAGCTAGCCCTTGTTATTTATACTCATGACTAGAGAGCTTTCATATGTTCTTGAGGACATATTTGGTCATAAAAAAAATATTTATTTGTTTTTGGAATAATTTTTCACTTTATTTGAGAATCAATGGTTGACAAGTCGTGAAAATTTTAAATTCCACTTGTAATTGGATTTCAAACTTATAAGATGTCTTTCAAATTTTGTCTGCGTAATTCCAAATATAATCTCTTAATTCTCTCCTTTGGAAAAAGTATAATCAAACAAAGTCGCATCTTCAAACTGTGAGGTTTAAAGAGGATAAGATGTATGCAGACCTTACTCTTACTTTTTCGTAATAGGGAGACTGTTTATATCAGATCCATAGTGATCAAAAAAATTTCGATTTGAAAATTGAAAAATATTTAATTTTTATGGCCAAACGTTTCTTTACCATCATAGGAATCTTTTTGAAGTTTTTCTTTAAGGGGAAACCATATATGTTAATTGTTGAGCTGTAAAGTGGAGAATCAAGTAATTTTGACATAAAAATTATATACATAAATATTTTCCTAATTCATATTATTATTATTATTATTCATTTACTTTATTAATAGTTCGAAAAAATTTTAAATAAGAGAATCACCATAATTATAACACTTCTCGAATTGTTATAATAAAGTGCATGGATACATGAGCCATGACAAGAAAGAATAAAGGACCAAACATATTCTTGGATTATTCATCGCTACTTAAGTGATTTCTCTAGGTCATATGTAAGTTAACTTTACACTTCATTAAATCATACTTCACTAGATAACATTAATATTTATATTACGATAGACTATTTAGATTATATTTTGAAGAAGTAAATTCTTTTTTCAAATCTTAATTATAATTTAATAAAATATGGAATGATTTATGCGTCATATTATCATTTTTATGAATGACTATATATAGAGTTTAATAAACAAAATAAAGATACGTCAAAAATGTAACTTGTGAGTTTAAGTATATATATATCTTGGATTATTCATTGCTACTTAAGTGGTTTCTCTAGGTCATATGTAAGTTAACTTTACACTTCATCAAATCGTACTTCATTAGATAGTACTAATATTTATATTACGATAGTCTATTTATATTATATTTTGAGAAATTAAATCCTTTCTCGAATCATAATTACAATATAATAAAATATGGAGTGATTTATGTGTCGTACTATCATTTTTATGAATGACTATATATAGAGTTTGATAAACAAAATAAAGATGCATCAAAATTGCCCTAAACTTGTGAGTTTAAGTATATATATTTTTATTTTTTATTTTTTTAGAGGCTTTAGTAACAGAAGAAAATAGGATGCTTATTTGTCACCACACATTCCTTAAAAGAATCTCTTTTTTCCAATTGTAAAAAAGTGATAGAACTTTTTCCTTTGTTTATTGGGACTTTTAATTAATAATAATGAAGGTGAAAAAATTATAAGAAGGAATGCACCTCTAGAGAGGCCCGCCGCTCTTTATATTATTTAGTAGCGAAATTAGAAATTTTATTTGAAAAATTAAAAAAAAAATTGAAGTCGGTTATATTTTACATACAATCCGTTGACCTACAGAAATTATTGACTCGTCTTCGATGAGAGATTAGAATTTGTATTTATACTGAATTTACAAAAATAATAACAAATCAATGAACCTTATGACAGGAGATCTAGGAGAATAGAATGTACACGAACAATACTTTTGTCTTTGTGAAATGAAGATGTTTTTTTTCAATAGATCCTTAGCTTAAAAGAAATAAAAATTAAAGCATGAGCGCAAAAGAAATTAAAATAACAATAAAATAGCAAAATAAACAAAGTAAATAAAGCAACAACTAATTATGTAAATAGAAGATAAAGATATTATACAAAATTAGGAGAAGAGGAGTCTAGCACCCAGTCTCTCCCATGTAAAAGTAAGGTAATATTTATCTACTACTCTATTATTTTAATCTTCGATTTTTCTATCTTTTTATCTAGGTTATGTCCTCGATAAGTTGAAAATATATAACATCTTATGTAACCATCATCCCAAATTCTTCTTCAGCTTACATCTACGGCCTCTCCAAAAAGAAGACTAATTTGGACGAGTGGTCGAGCCACCTTATGGTAAGGGATGTCTTGACGACTTTTCACCAGAAAATTATATTATTTAATTAGGTCACGATATTAAATTTATGTATCTATACTATATGTATACTTCTCAATTCTTTGTGTGTCTCTTCTTATTTTTTTATTTTATGACACTCTTTGATAAAATTTATATCTCTCTTATTTTATGTCGAATAACAACAAATCTATATGATATTAATTGATATTCTTGACACCTTTTCATCAGAAAATTACGTTATTTAACTAGGTCACGATACTAAATTTATGTATATATACGATATATGTATACTTCCCGATTTCTTTGTGTGTCGCTTCTTATTTATTTTTTTACTTCATAACACTCCTTGATAAAATTTCTGTCTCTCTTATTTTTACGTCGAACAACTACAATTCTATATAATATTAATTGATATTCCTAATGGCAAAAAAAAAAGATATATGTGACTTTTTTTTAATTAAGATGTACATATGAGGAAATAAAGAATATTAGCTCTTTTGTCCATTTTCACAAGTTTCTTTGTGTTCAAATTGTGTCTAGAGAGAATCAATAATATCAGAAGCATTTGATAGCCTCTCCACACAAAACAACATTCCTTTTCTTTCTCCTCATAGTGATCAAAGTTCAGTAAGAGTGGGGGTAGGGTTACTACAAGTGTGGGGACATGGAAAGTGATTGGTAATAATCAGCTATGAAATTTATCGATAATCTCTAGCTAATATATATAATTATATAAATTTTAAATTATTTGAACTTTTATCGCAAAATTTTGTCGGTTGTTAATTTCTTATTTTAAGTGTAGTTTATTTATATGTAGGTGGATTTTGGGTGGTACACCAGGAGCTGGTGTGTTATACTGTAAATTAAGGAATTTTTTGGCGATAATAGCTAATTATAGTTAAATATATTTTTTTAGAGACAATTAACATTTTTTGTAAATGTCGCTAAAGTTTATAGCAACATTAGATCTAATAACAATTAACTAACGTTGATAAAGGATCTAGTGTTCTTTGTTGATGCGCATGATATATTACCATTAGAATTGCTTTTGTTGTAATAATAATGAATTTTAAGTCGACTTCCTATCGAGTAGCTGGTCCAACTAAACATATTCTATAATCTAATGTATTTTACAAGTTAATGGATAAGAGCAAAATTATCCGATGCATACCTAAAGAGTAACGGCTATGCGATCCGATTGTGAGATGTAAAGATGAGTGAAAGAAAGAATATTGCTAGTTTTTTTTTTCTTAATTCTATTTTTCTTTTCTCCCTTTGGAAACCTATGAATTAAACGGTTTGCAGGAAAAAAAAATTATTATTTTTTAGGCCATAAAGAATTTGAAAGATATCCTCTTGAGGTTTAATGTGGCTATAAAATAAATACCTATTTTAGTGGACAGCCTGATTCACAATATTTGATTTTTTTTGTTTTTTTTTTAGTGAAAAGACATAAATTTCCTCTTAAAAAATTATATCGAATAATTAATTACACGTTTTAATTATTATGATGATTTTATAACAACATACTTTTATTAGTTAAAGTGAATTTAATATCACCTTGAGACATGTAATACCGCCATCACATGTATGTGATGTATTACACTTACTGCTACATCAGTGTCACATCAGCACCACGTTAGAAATTATAATTTTATATTTTTTTTATTTTTTAAATTAATTAACTTTTCTTTTGCTAACTTTATTTTATTCTTAATTAATCCCTAACTAATTATTAAAATTATCTAATAATCATATCTGCTTTCAAATCTAAATTCGATCCCCTTTTATCTCTAATCTAACTAGAAAAATTATCCCCATATCGCAATTCTCTTTGTCTTATTCGGCGAAGAACAATCAACCCATCACCACCACAAACCTACCACCACAACATCATCACTAGCAGAGACTTTCTTCAATATGCGCAAACAGAGATGCTGCTTTCAATGATGGACACCGGCCCTTGTGTTAAAGTAGCATCGAGTTTCGCTTGAAAACTTAGAATCTGTTGTAAAATTCGAATTAAAAATTATTTTTTCTACGTATGATGATAAAATTGAGAGTGACAAATTGTAAAATCGTGATGAGAAAAAAATAAAATTGAGTGACAAATTGTAAAATCGTGATAAGAAAAAAAGAAAAACTATGAAATAAAATAAGAGAAGAGGAACATGAAAAAGAAAAAGAAATATTCGTATGACTTTATTTTCAACTCAAACGCGCCTATTTTATTTTTATATTTAATTTTATTTTCACGTTAATTCTGGGATGATATTAATTACACTTTAAACAATAATAGATATGTAACAGATCGTCATAGTAATTGAAGCGTGTAACTCACATTTCAATACAAATTTAAGAGTGAATTTATATATTTTCTTTTTAAATAAATAAAACGAAATCACACAAATTAATTTTTTTTCCTCTCCGCTGAATTTCTTCCCATAATCTTTTATTACATACATCGTATTTTGTTTATCATTAGGTCACATCCTCTATGAATATTCATCTTTAAAAAACAAAAGTCTCATGTGTGAGGTTTACATGATTCTCCCAAAACAACTTGTCATCTAACCTTGTCCAAGTGGTATACATCAATTTTGCATAAATTCTCCTATTGTAAGGTGCTTGTTAATTTTTGTCCTTTAAATTATTAATTATTAATTTTGTTTGTATTTCTTGTTTAATAATAATTCGTCGATTAAAATATCTTTACTCATAATATAATTTTACAGGGTCGTATCTAACTTAAGTTTTGTAGTATCAAATTTGGAAAGCAAAAATCAAGAGAACTTTTGTTTTGTTCAATAAACTTTTTGTGAAAATAAATTATATTTTTTTAGT